CTTGGGTCGCAGCCAGGCTCCTCATCCTCCTCCTCCTCCTCCTCCTCCTCCTGCTGTTCGTCCTCCTCCTACTCCACCTCCACCTCCCCCTCCCCCTCCTCCACCTCCACCTCCTCCTCCTCCTCCTCCTCCTCCTCCTCCTCCTCCTCCTCATCCTCCTCAGCCTCCTCCTCTTTCCGTCCTCCTCCTCCTCGTCATCCGCCTCCTCCTCCTCCTCCTCCTCCTCCTCTTCCGCCCTCCTCCTCCTCCTCCGCCCCCTCCTCTTCCACCCCTTCCCCCTCATCCTCCACTCCTTCTCCTTAGAAGTATACACTCCCTGTCGCACCCCCAGACGTATCAATAGAAAGGGCGGGGCGTTTCGTCTGAGAGTTCCTCACCATGTTTGACCCTGAAGGATGGACGGCGGCCCGTTCTCAAAATGTGGCTCTCGCCTTAGCACCGCGCACATTCGCATCACAATTTCGCAGCAAGTTGACGGACAGAGGGCGGCCAATCTTCAAACCGTGGCTCTCGCCCCAGAAAGGCGCACATTCGTCTTCAAAGTTTGCAAAAGCTGCACGGATGGAGGGCGAGCAGTTTTCAAAATGCAGTTTTCGCAAGAGCTCCGCGCACAATATGGCGGAAGTTACGCGGATGCGTGGGGCAAGCGCATATTGGGGCTCTTTTTTCCTCCAATGCAGCTCAAACAAAAGAGCCTGCGGGCATGCTACGAATTGATGGCGTCAGAATCACTCAAAATCCCGAGCACGCCGCCTGGCCGAGCGGGGGCGGGTGGTGAGCCCGCTCCTCTTCGGACACCCCTCGGGTCACCACCCCCTCCAGGGTCCTAGAAAGTGACATTTAAAACCCGCAGTGCCTCGACGCGTAGTCGCGGAGGTTTAGGTTCGCGCCCATGGCGCATCTAAACAGTACACGGCTCAAGGCCCTACTCGGACCACACCCCTTGTTCTCTCGGTCCCAAAGGCTGGAAACGGGGGCTGGTCGTCCTCCAGGTGTACTTGACCTGGCTCTGGGTGGCTACCGTCCTTCTGCGATCGCCCTTCTTAGTCTTGAGCTTCACTGCTGGCTCGCTCGATCCCTCGATCGGAACACGCTGTGGCCTCCCGCCGTCGCCAACGCGCGGCAGGGTACCTGTGCAGCACCAACTCGGCCTCGCAAACGGACAAAACCAGCAAGCCAAGGAAAACCCAGGCAGTGCCAGCAGGAGACCTAGGCTCACGCCCGCCATCAGCACAGTCAGGCTCACGTAGTAGCCCTCAGCCGTGACTCCTGGCATGGCCACCGAAGTCAACGCGCTCCCGTCCACCTCCTGCGATGCCTCGCACAGCTCGGTCGAGCTTCCCTGCACCGCCGTGGGGAGCGACGCAGCCACTGCAAGCAACACATCCCGCAGGGTTGACTGGGCCTGGGAGTAAGCCGGCATGGCCCCGACTCCAGCTACCCTTGCAGCCCCTGGCGCGGGCACCTCCTTGAATCCGCAGCTCTCGCGGAGCCACTCGAGGCGTGTCCTCGGCAACACCTTGGCGCCGAGATCCGCCAGGTTGTCGTCACCAGCAACGGGCTCGATGGTGATGATCTTCTTGGCCACCAACTGCTGTATCCAAATCGTATTGGTGGCAAGGTGCTTGATCCGCCCAGTGCCCTGGCGCCTCGCCAGCGCTCTCGCACTCGAGCTGTCGCACCGCAAGCTCATGCGCACGCTGTAGCCCATGAACGTGAAGAGCGCCTTCAGCCCAAGTCATTCGCTGAGACCTCGAGTTCCAGCGTGCCACTCGGCTTCGCAGCTGATAAGGGACTGCACGTCTCGACGACAGCTGATCCCGAGCGTTGGACACCCACACGCAGTGATGTGCACGCTGGCCTGGCACTTCCGTTCCTTCGCGTCGCCTGCCCAGTCGGAGTCTGTCCACACGACCAGGTCGACGATGTCCCGCGGCGTGGTGGGCTTGGTCATCCTCACGCCCAGGTCCCTCGTGCCCTTCAGGCATCCTGCCAGCCTCTTGAGGGCTCGCATGTCCGCCCCACGGGGCGATGAGATGCACGAGGTCAAGTCGTTAATGTCGAACTGAGCACCTTCACGGTGATGAGATAAGAACAGCAGGCACAAGGTCACGCTCCTGAACAGCTTAGCCTCGTCTGGGCTGAGGTCGGGCGTGTCATCCCTGCCTGTCCTGCGCGCCTCCACCCCTGGGGTGGCGCACGGGTTGCCCTCCTCGAGGCCTAGCGCCTCCAGCGCCTTCGTGAGGTACTTCTCGTTGGGCTGAATGTAGGTAGCGTCGGCCTCTCGCGCGCGCCGACTCTTGAGAAACTCGTAGTCGGCACCGTCGCCCTGTAGGCCTGACCACTTCACCTTGATGTCACCGCCCAGGTCCAGCACGAAGTCGGACCCCGCGACTCCAGGCGCTGTGTCGTACATGTCGTCCATGTGCAGCTCCACCAGACATGGGAGCTCGGCGCGCCAGAAGAACTGGGGTGCGGTTGGTGACCGCTCGAAGCCCCTGGCCAGGAGCTGCTCCGCGGCGAACTCGGCCCAATGCTTCCCGCCAGCACGCCGTCCTGGCAACTGCTTCGCGAGCTGCCAAACGTAGTCCTCAGTGTCGCCCTTCGCGCGGCACTCTTCCAGGACTTCGGACGGGCACTCGACCCACACGTCCTCCTCCCTCTACAGGAGGAAAATTCAAAAATAGTAAGAAATGGTCTGGGGACGATCTTTCGATTATGTTAGGCCATGTTGGGGTACTCTTCGACCATTCTTCATTTGTCTTGTTCAAAATCCGCATGTAGGGGGACACGCTCGACCTAACGATAGTGTCCAGATTGGTCTGGGACAAGGCGTCTGGGGATTACAACTCCTCGCCGTCTTTCCTCCTGCCACTCCTCCGCCCCTTTCCCTCCTCCTCCTTCAGCTTCTCATCCACATTGTTTTCTTCTGGCGGCGATGGGACTTCGCGCAGGTCAGGTCTCGTTGTTAACCCTCCATTTTCCAACACTGATTGCTGTTGACCCGCCAGCCAGCATTTGATTTTCACTGTCCAAGTTTGCCTATTCACGTTCGCTCTCATGTTTCCGTCACCGTTGTTCCCCAACCAGAGTTTGCCTCTATAAGGGTCCTAGCGGGTTCATTCCCCAATCGGAGTTTGCCTTTGCAGGGGTCCTAGCCGATTCTATGGTTAGGTTAGCTGTAGCGCCGATTTCGGCGGCACGCCCGGGTGCCCAGGTGCCCGGGTGCCCTTAGCCGTATAGCCCTACAGCCTTATAGCCTTATAGCCCTATAGCCCTATAACCTTATAGCCCGATAGCCTTACAGCCTTCTAGCCTTATAACCCTATAGCCCTACAGCCCTATAGCCCTATAGCCATATAGCCCTATAGCCCTTTAGCCCTGTAGCCATATAGGTCTAGAGCCTTATAGCCCTATGGCCCTATAGCCCCGTAGCCCGATGGCCCTAGAAAGATAATGATTGGGGCTTTTCTCCGGTATCATACTATTAGTTTAGCTATGGTACCGATTTCGGCGGCACGTCTGGGTGTCCAGGTGCCCGGGTGCCCGCGTGCCCAGGTGCCCGGGTGCCCTATAGTCCTTATAGTCCTATAGCTCGATAGCCCTATAGCCCTATAGCCCCATAGTCCAATAGCCCTATAGCCCTATAGCCTTATAGCCTGATAGCCTTACAGCTCCGTAGCCCTATAACTATATAGCCCTATAGCCCTATAGCCCTATAGCCTTATCGCCCTATAGCCCTATAGCCCTATAGCCCTATAGCCCTATAGGCCCAGAGCCTTATAGCTCTATAGGCCTATAGCCCCATACCCCTATGGCCCTAGAAAGATATTGATTGGGTCTTTCTCCAGTATCATTATTTTGTCAGGGTAATTCCTGGTGCTCGAATTGTGCTGGTGGGCCTCCAGAGACTACAGCAGCAACTCCCTCGTCAATTCCTTACTTCACATTTGCCCAGCAATCAATGTTTCGCTCGAGACTTTTGTGTACTTGACTCAGGATTTGGTCTCTCGCCTCGGTCTTCCACTCAATGTGCTCATATATGATCCTGGGCTCCGGGCCAACGGCCCCCCCCCCCCAGATGGTATGGTCCCAGGATTCCTCGGCCCCCCCCCCCCCAGATGGTATGGTCCCAGAGACGACGACGACGACGACGACGACGACGACGACGACGACGACGACGACGACGACGGCGACGACGACGACGACGACGACGACGACGACCACGACGACGTCGACGGCTGCGGCGGCGAAGACGCCGGCGGCGGCAGCGACGACGACGATGACGACGATGACGACGGCGACGACGACGATGACGACGACGACGACGACGAGGACGACGAGGACGACGAGGACGACGACGACGATGACGACGACCTCTGAACCACCACAGCACCACACCACATCCACAGGGGGGGGGGCACCGCAGCGCAGCACCACGCCACGCCCACCTCTGAACCACCACAGCACCACACCACATCCACAGGGGGGAGGGGGGCACCGCAGCGCAGCACCACGCCACGCCCACAGGGGGGGGCGGGGGGGACCATCTCGCGGGAGGGGGGGGGGGCCCAATGGCATCAGCATTGGACGGGAGGGGGGGGGGGCCCAAGCCCTGAACCATATATATTGCGCTCCCACCTCTCAGGAATCGCGCTCTGGCCTTCGACCTCATTGCAGCTTGTGAACGAGTCGCTCTCTCGCCTGGGACACCCTGCCACTTTACCCGTCGGTTGTCGAACTTCGTCATTTTTGGGATTCCTGGATTCCATGAATACAAGAGCGGGTTTCTTTGTTGCTTGGGGCATAATAAGGATTATAGCCCCCAGCCCCTCTCTCCCCCCCTATAACGTAACGCCCCTCCCCCCCCAGTGCGCTCCGGGCACTGCCGCCGTGCGCACGAAGGGGGGGAGGCGTTACATTATGCCACGCCCCCCTGGCCCCTCCCCTCCCCTCCCCATTATCGCCGAAAATAAAGAAACGCGCTCCAATCTGCTCGA